ATATATATATATATATATATATATATATATATATATATATATATATATATATATATAATTCCGATGAATGACAAAGGTAAGGCGAAGTTACGATAAGTAGTGTAACAATGCACGTGTAAAATATGGGCGAGTCAGGGGAAAGAAATTAAACCGTTGACGAAGTCGCTATACTCTGCCTTTCAGGTCAATCATCTTCTCATCGACATATCTGTAAAATCAAATATCGGGCTCTACCTCATCTACGACTACGTGGTTTATTAAATAGGCAAGATGTATTGGCAACAAATATGTAGATATGATCAGGATACTCTATTCTCTTATACGAAAATTTCAATGCACTCTCGTTGCACGTAATATTATCGATATACAATTAAATAACAAACAAATAATTAATACAGTATAACAGCAAATTGAATTAACTGTTAAATTAATGATTAAAATATTAACATGCAATCAACCATGCAACATATAAAATATAAATATGTTAAGTAAAATATCCACATTTTCTGCATGCATGGAATATTAATGATACATCAATCGTATTTCGCGTAAAAATTATACGAGAAGCATTTCGTGCCGTGCTGTCGTTATTAGAGGCTTGCAGAAGTTTTTTGGCTTTTGATTTGTATTTCTTATTAATAATATAAATAAACAATATACATACTAAAATATTCAATCTTCAGTTTTTTTAATCTAAGTATCCGCAATCATCATTCACTATTTTCTGTTAAATAGTAGTTTGATTCCACATCTGTGAAATGACTAGTCTTATAAGCCCATGAATTATAGATTTCGATAAATGTTTGCAAGCCCCTAATAGTTTCGCGATCAAATCAAGTTAGAGTCCCTAAAAAATTGTTCGATAAAGCGTTAAGTGCCATGAACAAACAAGTAAAAAGCGAATATGCAATATAAAAATGTACATGCATACATACCTATACAGAACATAATGCTGTATTATGAAAAATATATCGAACGCCACAGAAAAGAATCCAAGACCGAATTTAGTTGGATCTCCAAAAATACTTTCCCAATCGTCTGAGATAAAAATTATCATGAATTAGCGCGTCTCGTGGCAGGATTAACTCACGAATTTTAATCGCAGATATAAAATTAAAATGGATAAATTTAGCAATATATTTTTACCATAGTTGTAGGCGTTGAGTATCATTTGCAGCATCGATAAAATTCCGCCGGTAAAGTCTAAGAATATATTTCCAATGCTCCAGCCAACAGTAGACTTTCTCCTATAATTGTAGAACGCTTGTGGCACATATTTGATGAGTGTTATGCTGAGCTTAACGTAGCTGCAGTAATAAAGAAAATCTAGCCACTGTATTACTTTAACGAAGGATAATATCAAAGATATGAATATAAACGTCGCGAATATTCCATGAATAATACGTGCAGTCGTCGATACTCTCTGATTGCCAATCTGAAGAGAAAAAAACAATATAGTTAAATCTTGACTGCTGCGAATACGGCAATGTTATTTCGAGAAAGAAGTGCCTTTTCCAATTATAAATGTTTTTAATTTAGTTACCTCGTAAATAAAACACTGCGTAATTGTTACTACGGTAGCGAATACTGCATGTAGAGAGAAAAATATATCATTAACTTGGACAGGATTCAAGCCCTTTGGATATCGATTGAAATACTCAAGCTGAAAATGTTAAGTCATGATAAAAATTAATTAAATTACACAGATGCGAGTAAATTAGTATATAATATCTATAGTATATAACGTCGCGTAATATCAACGTAATATCTTCCTATTGGATTAATACTAAATGTGATAAAATTTAATTCAAATTTTATTTTACACGTTTATAAGAGAATATTTATCTATTATTATATTCGTACTCTTTACAATTGATATAGATAATGAATACGACGATGTCTTACCTCGATCTCAGGTATCCAGTAGAGACCACAATTAAACAATCCGTACATAAGAAAACCGACGAAATTTAACGACAGATAATCGAAATTGAGACCCACAACACTTTTACGTTTGTAATTACTGTAGATTTGTGGGTAAAAACTTATACTCCATGCCAAAAAGTATATCCATCCAACCACAGCACTAATATGATAGAGCGTGTCCGATTTCTCTATAGTCACTCTGACAAACGCTTGAGAGAAGCTAAAGAAAAAGAACAATCGTATGCACAATGAATTATTTTCACACGAGTTTAAAACACCATTTAAAAATATATTATTTCAAATATAATTAAAAAAAATAGCAGGAATAGTATTTGCTTACTTCAAATTGATACTATTTAATTCATTTCGTGGTATAACAATTATCTTATACATTGACATTTTTCAGTGATTCTTGCAATAGTTGTAAATCTTAAAATTTCCCTTCTTTTTTAAAATTTCTTTCTTAAAATTCTAAAAAAAATCTTAAAACGCTATTTTGCAAAAACAATTTTTTTCTCTCTTAGAAAGCACCATCAGACATGCTACACTAGTATAAACTTTAGAGTCTGTAGATTTACAAAATTCACTAAATACGTTTCACGAGAGCCACTTGTTAACATTATATGACAACTAATAATTAAGAACACCTATTAGGCATAGTCATGTTAACAGTAACCACAGTTACACTAGGAAGTACTCTGTTGCAAATCCGGGCATAGACTGGCGAAACCTCAAGTTTCAGTTTGGCTGACAAGTTTTAGGTCAAAAGGCTATCAATGCATACACGGTTAGCAGAGCATGATAAAATATGAGTGTAACATGCTGATTGGGATCTTTTTGGAATTAGTCATAAAGATAACGGAGGTATCAGTGCCATAGGTCTCTGCTCTCTGCTGTTTATGTAATCGACTCAATTAATGAGCATTACAGAGCAAAGGTATGTGTTTATATAGCAACAGCTGATTAGAGTTGGCAAATAAGTTTACAAACAAGCTGAGATATATAAAATTTTATATCTCTGAAATGTCCGTGTATATATATATATATATATATATATTTATTTATTTATTTATTTATTTATACTTACTCTGCAATATTACTGGGTGTTACATTAGCATTGAGAATTGAATGGCCTGCACTCAAGCCTTTTACATAAATAATCCACTTTGTCTGGTCTGTTGTGGTATTAAAGCTGATTAAAGATGGTTCAGTGGATAATAAATCAGGATGCTGTACATCTATTGTTACTGTCACGCTCCTATTGATGGGTGGTAAAGGTTTCCTGAAAACAAAAGATAAATTATATATATAGCTTTAGCAACACAAATAATATTACTTTTTAATATATATTTTAATATATATTACTTTTTAATATATATTTTAATATATATTTTTTTTTAAATATATATTTGAAATTATAATATATAGATTTTTGTAATATAAGTGATTGTGTGAGTATCTGTGATTGGTTGGTAAAGTATAAAGTCTAACACTGAATTCATACAAGATTCCATTAGTATTTCTAGCCAGTACAGAGTTATCAATGTTTCTGGAGCAAATGATTAAACTTGGTCTGCTGTGTCTGCAGCATATGCTGATTAATTTAAAAGATACCAGTGGAATGTGGGAAAAGATAGAGATATCAGTGGAATGTGAATAAAATACATCACTTGAATCCAATATAAATTCTAATCAACTGTACTTGATCTATTTAGGAGATAATTTACAGATATTAAGAGCACGTGCACAGTCACATGATATTGCAGCTACAATGTAAGATATATATGTGCTCTTAAAAGCAATACAACTGTTCATATTGTATTTGTGTAATAGCCAATAAAATCTATAAGTGTTCCATGGACATTTGTGGTACAGCCTGTTACAGTGTTGGATTAGTGACATACAATCATTATGAATCAATCATTACTTACGTTAAGGATAAGTTAAATGATCCAGGATGATTGAGTTGGATCTTTAAATCCTGCGTAGAGACTTTGAAGGCTGCCTGAACGCTCGTTAAAACTGCAAATACAAAAAGGCAATATGTATGACATATAGTTAACACGCAAACAATTAGTATGTCTGTGTTTCTGTTTATTTCTGCCTTACCTGATAATATCAGGATCCACGTGTAGCGTAACGAAGCCATATTTGCACACCGACTGAAACAAAAAGTCATAAGATGTCATTAGAATCGCTCTTTAGCATTAGCTACGGTTCCAATGATAGTATTATCACTTGGATCATTTGTGTCATACATGGATATGGTAACAAGCGTCAACTAGTGAACGAAACACGCAGCTTGCTCGTGAAATTAGTTAAAGCTCACGCCGTCTTGTTGCTACGTGTCGGACGTACGAGCGAGTAGCGTGTTTAACCTCAAAACGCGATGAATCACGAGAGAGATCACAAACTCGTACGATGCGATGGCGTGCGGCATGCTGTTGAATCATCTTGCTGACTGTCAGTCAGCGAGACTCAACGATGATCTCCATGGTCCCATATGGACACAGCGTGAAATCGAACACATTCCGCGACATTGTTGTGTTTATCGGCTTGATCGGATCCTCCTAGCTGTCACTGTCAACGTTGCATGGCGCCATCGTCGTCGTCGTCGTCGTCGTCGTCGTCATCGTCATCATTATCATTATCATTATCATTATTGTCGTGTCTATCTTGTCCGTTATTGTTTATACTATAGGTCTGTTCATTTTCAAACAACTTCTGAACTAGTATAATAAGTTAGTTTGAAATAAGTATACTTTTTTCAATCCAACTCATTCCATTAGTATGCACTAGTTTCTTTGAGGTTCTTCGAAAACGAATAGACTTTGTTTTACCCACGAGCAAAACATTAAAGTTAATTGAAACAAAAAAAAGGAGCGGCTAGTGATAACGCGCGAAATCAAATTCGAAAGGCCTCGTTACTGCACTTCGTAGCAAGTTAAAACCGATAAGAAATAATAATAAGATATCGTCGGCGTAAACGTGACTCCATTGGTGACTGGAATATTTCTTGGCGATGAAAAATTGAGAGAATATAATCAAAGTGTTGCGGAGATTCGGCCGTTTTTGATAGAAGATGTATTATCGAGATTCTTTCAAAATGTAATATATATATGACATTGATCTTTCCCTCGTTTAACGGATGGGACGGAACTGTGGGACGAGAATGCGATAAAGATGATGTAAAGACCGATTTACATCAGTAGTAACATTGCAAATAACGTGTGTTTCTAGCAGTGTTACCAATAAATATAAATTGTCTTATTTAAAATTGCTGAATATAATTGTTTCTAACAAGTTACGAAACAAATTAATCATACTATTAATTTTATTATTTTTGGAATGAAAAACGTAAATTAATAATATTTGTTGGTGACACTGGTGTTTTCCACATTGTTAACAGCATATTTTGTTTAATTTGATTAGTCGTTTTCTGGTCAACATAGTTTTGTTGAAAACGTTTTTATTATTAGCTTTTACGTTGTCATTGCCATTTTTTCGGTGTAAACTAGCCTTAACACATGGGATTAATAATACTCGCAAGATAACGCAGTATCGAACATTTTTCAATAATCTAGTCTAAATGAAACAACAACACATTGCATAACGCGAGGTAATTTATTTCATTCACATCATGTTGCAATATGTTTGTATTATTACCACAGACAGATTAATGTCATTAGTTAAGAATACATGTCTCTCAACACAGCAGAAATGTTCAAAATACACCATGGGAATATCCTAGAGATATCTTTAGGATATCGCAATGATATATTTTGAATATTTCTATTGTGTGGGCCATTTTGTCGGCAGGTTTGATCATTTGTAATTTTATTTACCTTCCATATTCTTTTCGTTATTATTCTGCTTATTAATCAAACTCGAAACAGAGATTCACTGCATTCATGCAGTTACACGCGTTACACGCTCGATTGCTCTTCTTTTTTATGTTTTTGCACTTAGTGCTTAGTCAACGATGAACTTAATACGCTTTAGTAGGTCAAGTCTCGGTGAAGTTCCACCGAGATTGTGAAAGGTCGGCAAATATCCTAAAGAACGTAGAAACGATAGGGTTGGAAGATGGAGGGGGCGGTGTGTGATAACGATTGAGCTAAAGTAGAGGGAGGCAAAGAGAAGAAGAGAGAAAACGATACGTCGAACGGAGTGACGAAGACAAACGAGACACATTTACTTTTGCGTACCGGGGAAAATCGCATGATAAAAATGATAAAAGGATTCGTGTGGCAAGGAGAATGTGCTGTTTAAACGCGAATTTTATATAGTGAGGTAAGCCTGATTACACATAAATTAGTAAATCGAGATTTCCTAAGAGACTCTCAGATATCCCACGGTGAAGTTCAGTCGATAAAATTTAATTTTTATTAAGATATTTCTGACTGATACAGTTTATAGACCAGGGAATTTATCTCTATTTTTCTCTCCTTGAATAGGCAATCTACGAGAGATTTTGCATATGATTATGTCCAAGGATTGTGTTTTTCAAATTAATGTCCAAGGATAGTGTTTTTCAAATTGATATCGCGATTGCCGTTAATAGACCATGAAATCAATTTAATGCGTCACGTTCATTTAATTATCTATTGCGTTTATCGAAGGTTCTTCTGTTTATTCGAATATTAAAATATTAATGTTAGCGTCATATATACTCGCTCTCACATGTTTAATTAAACAGATCTTTATAAAATAAAAAAAAAATATGTATCTGCTAATATTGTCTGTAGGTATATTTTCGTAAAATTTCGGTTACACACATGTTTACGTGCATTGTGACGTGATATACGTTTCTTTGGTTTGCGGTCGAAAAAGTTTGAAAAATGTTTTCCGAGAGAGGAAAAAAGAATTTTTATTTTTGATATTCGGCCGTTGTGTGTACGGATTTATTCGAGTCGCGTAATGCGTGCTCGTAATACGCCAGAGAAGTAGAAAAAAAACCGTAACTTTGCCATCGCAAAGGATTCTAATTAGAGGCGGATTAAAAAGAAGCGGTATTTTACGAAAATAAGGCGACAACGTGGCGGATAAAAGTAACCCATTTGTTTATTTGGCATTCAGTTAAATTCGTTCTATCGTGGTCACGCCCGCGAATTCAATTAAAAGGGTGACAATAATAGACGATTGTTGGTCGCGATTCCGGAAATGAGCCCTTCCACCTTGTCGGTAACAGTGTTACGTTCGCACGCAATCGCGTATTATTCCTTAATTTGTGTGTACGATACCGCGCAAACGGTCCGGGCAGAATTAAAATCCGGGCGAGCGGGTAATAACGATTATCATAAATTAGAGATTAGCGCCAACTGGGCTTGCCGGATTGGCCGACTGTAATGCTCGTCTCATGCTAATTTCTTATCACAGTCCATTACTTAATCGCGCGCTGGGTTAAACGTTCGTCGTCGATCGGAAAGTACAGTTGTGCACGGCGACTCGTTAATATTATTTCAGGGACGCAAGATTATATTCTTATTCTTTCCACTCTTCTTCTCTGTCCAATATAAAACACATTTCCGTGCATTTCTGTAAATTTCACAAGGCACAAGAAATCTTTGATAAAAACGATTTACTTAAACTCTCTCTTGTATGAGCTGAAGATATATGAAGAAAGGAAAAAGTGTGCACGACTTCCAATTTCGACGACTCGTTCTCGTTTGAACTTATTCAAACGTATGTTTCACGCGAGCTGTTTCGCCTTTAAAGACTCGTGTGGAATTAAATTAACAAAGAGCGCACGTCAAAGATTTGCATTGGTAGCACCGTAAAGTCCACAGCACAAGATGTTTAATTTTCTGTCGCGCATAATTTCGACGATGGCAACGTTTATTATTTCTTCCTTGCAATCAGCGCATCGGAAAAGGTCACACGTTTTATTTGTATATTTAAATATCGTAGATCTGTGTTAATAGTCGTGTATATCCAAGTTTTTCAGTTGAATTATAATATATATGATATTTATATCTGCAATCGCGCGATTAAAACTGAAAAGTTTTCATCCAACTCTATATTCAAATCTGAATATCTCACTAGAAACAAGTCTCAAGTAATAACTCTTAAGGGAAATGCCATGCTTGAAAACTTTACCGATGAAATACTGACTTTTTTCTGCAAAGTTTGCGTCGTATTCATCGCACAAAATTGCGAGTACTTTTACACACTGAAGGTACGTGGATAATAAATTGGAGCGTTGTTTAAAGTGTGACGAAAACAATAAGAAATTTTAAAACTGACATCTCGAGTTGTCAGTTGACGTAAATATTCACTCGATACTTGAAAGTTCTGCAGCTTGTACGTACTACACGTGTATATTTAATAAAAATTTCTGAGGAACATTTCTGTATCTTTACAACTGAATTTAGAAGCTCAAAAGTATACGAAAAATTTGCAGAAAGATTTCTATATATGCATGCTAACACAGTAAAACAAAGCGGCACACATTTATATGTGTGTGAAATCTTGTACAAAAATTACGAAAAAAGATATAATATGGTCGTGTTGGTGACGATCGTCTCTACGTTATCGACATTTGTGGAGTTGATCCACCACTTGGGCATCCCTTTAATACGTGTCATAGTAACGAAATAATGAACGTCGTCTTCATCGGTATTATGCCGCGCTCCATACACAGCGGAGAGACTTGAGCATCGTGTGCTTTAAAACGCACACGCATGCGGCGCACTACCGCGTTATCGTAATTTCGTCCGTCGCGTAATTCTTTTTTTAATATCCACACAGAGGCTCGCGCGCCCGCGTCATTGAGGCGGAGGAGCCGCTAGCTTTCTCGTATATTCGAGGATATTTCAAGGGTACCGTCGCTCTCCCCTTTCCCTCGTTCTCTCCCTCACCGTATTCCCCGTGATACATTAAGGCAAAATGTCGACATTACGGCCACGCGTCGCTCAATATATCATTACGGTGTGCGTAGCCGGGACGACTCTCGGAGGCGGTTGGCGGCTCGTCTGAGTCCCCGGGATTTATTGGGCCGTGCGGCTCGACGCGGCCCCGGCATTATTATTCCATCGGCGGAATTATTGGCGCAATTAACTGCCGGCTAAACGATATTTTAAATAACCCGCGCGCGCTCGTGCGATGTCGTCGGCTTTTGTCGAGGCCCTCTCGAGCCGATCGATGGAGCGCGAAATATACG